GCTTTCGGATGAGTCCGTAGAGTCGAGTGGCCCATACCCAGAGCTTGTTGGCTACCTCATGTACCTGTTGACCTGCACTCGACCTGACCTTGCATACCCTCTTAGCATTTTGGCACGCAATGTTGCTCCTGGGAGACACCGACCAGAGCACATGGTTGCAGCGAAGAGGGTGTTGCGCTACTTGTGCAGTACGTCGGGAATGGGGCTAGTGCTTGGAGGGCGACGTCCAGTGGTCCTCACAGGTCACGCAGACGCTTCTTGGGCTGACGGCCTGGCTACGCAGCGGTCGTCACAGGGCTACACCTTCAGCCTTGGCTCTGGCTCTGTTTCGTGGCGGTCTACCCGCTCGTCTTCTGTTCTCGGCTCGAGCTGTGAGGCGGAGATCTGTCAGAATGTTATCTCATGCTCTAGCCTATAGTGGGGTGCTCTATAGCGAGTATAACCCTTCTCGGTTTTCCTACTTGTATCCCCATTCTTGCTAGTGCAGCCCTCTTCTTTCTTCTAAACTTTCACATGCTATCAGAGCAGGTCGATCCCCTTGGATCGATCCTGTGGGTGGACTTACCACCTCGTTGCTTCCGCTGCAACTCCTACTGCTACTGCTATCACTACTCTCCGTGCCGCACGCCCCATGGCGTGCGGCAGTTTTTCATCCCGCCGTGCGCCCCGAGGCGCGGGGCGGTTTTCTGCCCGCCGTGCGCCCCGAGGCGCGCGGCGGGTTACTGCCCCGTCACGCCGTGCGCCGCTCCCGGGAGGCGCTGCGACAGGCGACGGGGACCTCCGCGTCGCCCCATGTCGCCCGTCGTGGCCTGCGCGCGGCCCGTACAGCCTGCGCGCGGCACGTACGGGCCGTGCCATACCCGTCCGCGGCCCGTACGGGCCGCGCCAGGCCTACGCGCGACCCGTACGGGCGGCGCCAGGCCCGCGCGCGGCTCGGGCCGCCTGCGCGCGGCTCGGGCGACCCTACCTGCGGCCCTGGCCCCGACCCCGCCGCCCTACCTGCGGCCCCGTCGTCCCGTCGCCCTACCTACGGCCCGGCTCTGTCGCCCTACCTACGGCACCCCCCCCCCCCCCCCCCCTTTCCCGTCGCCCGTCGCGGCTCCTTCGGGGGCCGCGACCTGGGGGGTGGTGGGTGTGAAGTCTCCCCTGCTCCTCCTCCTCCTCTATCTCCCACTACTGCAGCTGCCGCTGAGGGGGGTGGGTGTGTGGGATTCGACGGAGTGGTGCTAGGGGGTGGGGTGAGTGTGGAGCTAGGGGTGTAGCAGCGGGTGTGTGTCAGGGGGAGTGGGATCGTTTGGGGAAGCTGAATGGAGGTTGCCGTCGTGTCGCCAGCAGCACCTGTATTCCGCGGACTTCGTCCGGTAGCCCAGTCGTAGCCAGCTGTGCTAGCCGCCCGTGGGTCCGTTGCTCGTCTGCCGCTACTTTAGCTGCGGGGCCAGTTACTCCAGTATTCCGGAGCGTTGTTCCGGTAGCCGCTGTGCCAGTGTGCCTCCTGTTGCCCGTGTGTCTACAGCTTCATCCGTCGCCTCCTATCTCCTCTCCTCTCACTCTCTCTCCTCCTCCTCACTTGCCCGTTGTGACTACCACTAACTTTGCTCATAATTGTTAACTTTAAACTATTGCTTCTTGAACTTGTGCTCAGAATGTGTGGTGACATTGTGATCCACCCTGAGCTTGTACTGCTTTGCTTGCTCTGCTGATTACACCCCACTTTGGCTATGGGGGTGTGTCAGAATGTTATCTCATGCTCTAGCCTGTAGTGGGGTGCTCTATAGCGAGTACAACCCTTCTAGGGTTTCCTATTTGTATCTTCATTCTTGCTAGTGTAGCCCTCTTCTTTCTTCTAAACTTTCACAAGATCTACGCGGGGGCCATGGCTGCATAGGAGCTACGCTGGCTCACCTACCTGCTGACTGACCTAGGAGAGCCGCCTTGTTCTCCTCCAGTTCTGTACGTAGACAACAAGGCCATGCTGGCCTTGTGTTGGGAGCACAGACTAGAGCACAGAACGAAGCACATTGCTCTTCGCTACTTCCTTGCTCGTGAGCTGCAGCAGCGTAGTCAGCTGCGCCTTGCTTACGTGGCCTCTGAGGCCAACACTGCTGATATCTTTACCAAGGCCCTTCCGCCTTGTGTTCATCAGCGCTTCTGTACGATGCTAGGTTTTGTGCCTACTTGGCCTCACTTGCTCACTTCTTGACCTTGCTTGTACTGTGATCTTTCTATACGTGCACTTGCTTGTTTACCTTTATATATGGTCTTGCATGTGAACTGGCCTTGTGGCCTTGCTCTTGTGCTCGGACTGTGTGGTGACGTTGTGATCCACCCTGAGCTTGCTTTGCTTTGCTTGACTAGTCTTATGACCTCTTGTTCTCCCCCACTTTGCCTATGGGGGTGTGTCAAACTCATATGCTATAGTCTGTGTAGGCTGTAGTGGGATAGACAATATGGGGTACAACACTATTAGGTTTTCCTACTTGTACCCACCTGCTTGCTAGTTCATTCATTCCTTCCTCATTTCTTCACAGCCCATCCATGCAGACAGCAGCGGTACTAATTCCCCATACCAACCCGATGCTGACAGGACTATTCACCCACGGATGCAAGATCGACAGGTTTTTCAAGAATCTTCACCGATGGGCTACGACGCAGCATGACACCTATTACCTAAAAGCCGGTACGAACCGGATTTGAGTACCCACCTACCAGCCCTTACAGGAGCTGCTGACGCAGGAGGTACATAACTCCAACCTTCTTGACACTTCAGAATCGACAAAACACTCAAGCTGCTGCTGCGGAACTCCTGGCCCGATACGATGACGAACGTGCAGCACTACATGACAACATGCCCGACCTGCCAAGCCATGAAGTCATCACGACAATGGCCAGCCCAATTGCTGCAGCCCCTCGAGCAACCTGAACAACCGTGGCAATGCGTGACAATGGATTTTGTCACCGGGATTCGAGCTGGCGCAAGTGGCAACGACTAAGTAATAGTCGTCGTTGACCGATTAACGAAAATGGCACATTTTGCACCATGCGGCACGACGATCGCAGCCGAAGACACAGCAAAGCTGTTCATCTCCACCGTCGTACGCCTACATGGGTTACCTTCGGCGATCATTAGCGATCGAGACCCGAAATGCACGTCGAAGTTCTGGAAGGATACCTGGGCACAGTACGGCACCCGCCTCCAGTTTTCGTCGTCTTACCACCCACAAACCGACAGTCAAACCGAACGGACAAATCAGACCATGGAGCAGCTGATTCGCACTTACTGCCTCAACCTGACCAAGTGGGAGGATTCGCTCCCAATGCTCAAGTTCGCATATAAAACGCACCCTCAGCAACGACCAAACAGCCCCCTCTTACTTAAATTACGGGATAGACCCCGTGGTACCCTATTCAACGGCACTCGACGACCCGGTACCACGATTGCAGTAGTTCGTCACGGAACTTCAGACCGCTCGTAGAAAAGCCAGCTGATTTTGTTTGCAAGGCTAATCCCGTTGTCGATCCCAACGCGGACAAGTACCGACGGGACTTACCTTTCCGCACCCGGCAAGTCGTACTACTGGACACGAAAATTCTTCAGCTGCCTCAGCCTGCGAAGCTTCGACCCCGATACATCGGCCCGTTTCGCATCGTCCAGTTGGTGACACCTGTAATGGCGAAACTAGTGCTACCCGACAATTGGAAAATACATTACGTGTTCCACGTAAGTTTGTTGCGCCACTATGCGCCGCCGTAGTCGCCAGCCGTCGCTTGACCGAACATCGCGCCGACCACCCGACATGTGGCAGAACCCACGCTCGAGCCATGGAAGCTTTTAAATCACCGCGTGGAGCTGACGACTGTCGGACGCAAGGCCATCTTTATGCTTCGCTGGAGCGAGGACGACACGTACGTCGCAGCTGACTCACTACGTAGAAATCAAGTTGTTGATGCTTACCTGACCCGTCGGGGCGTCCTGGATATACAACGCCTTTTTTAAAGAGGGGGTAGTGTAAGGAATTTTTCGCGATTCCTTACTGGGTCACACTGTATGCGTACAACTCCGGTTTTCAGCGAACAGGCTCGGTCTGACGACCGCGCCCTCCGAACCACCATCGCGTCTCCTTCGGGTTTCTTGACACCGAACCTGCACCCAACCATCTCGCGACTCCGCGACCGTCGCCTAGCTAGCTTTGCTATATTTGTAGGCCCCAGGCTCAGACGTTGTAATCACTTCCGCGTTGTTGCATTCTGCGCACTCTTCTCATTTACAACTCATAACAGCTATACTACTAGTAACATTATCTACAGATCAAGTTACTCTGCCCTCAAACCTATGTACACGTGTACTGCAGAACATCTTGTGCTGCTGACGTGGCAGGCTGGCAAGGCAGTGCGGTCAATTTCGCGTGCTTCTCATGATTTGCGGTGCACTTTCAAGCCACAGATACATTTTGGCAGTCATTGGTTGAACCGACACTGCGCTCTGCGCCAAGCAATGACCCTTCCATCGATCGCGGCTATGAACGAGCGCCTCGACATTGGTTGCGTGAATGGCTGCTTGGGGACCATATGTCATCATTCGTTTGCCACAAATGACACCGCAGATCCAGGACCCGCGCGGGTCGTTCCCAAAACGCACTTCGAGCCCCGCACTTTTTAACCAGGTCAACACTTGTTCCAGCCGCATAGGCTCAAAAACCAGTCAGTGTGAAATGAGGGTGCTCTTACGAGAGAGAGAACAGGTCCTCAAAAGAGCGGATTCCCTAATATTTCTTTTGCTGCCAAATCTGCAGGGCTCAATTTTGACCGTGTGTTGATTTGTTTTGTTTCGAGTGGAGCCTGGGCAGGAAACGGCAAGTCGCTTCAGCCGCACGTTGAGGCACTGCCTCCGCGGTAGTCGGGGTAAAGGCCGAGGCTTCCGCCTTAGCCAAACACCCACATTGCTCGTGCGGCTTTTGCGCTTGCTGTTCGCGTCATTCCTCCATCCCGTCGCGCCGGAAACCATGGCCACCAATTCACTTACCTTATCCACGTGGCAACAAGCGCCATGGATGCAGCCACTGCAGCCGTCCACGCAAGCGGACATTGCGGCCACGAGGGTGCAATCATGCACGTACACCGCGCGGCGGTCGCGCATCGGGAGACCAGCCCGTGGAGCGCCATCCCGCTTCGGCCTCGTGCAACTAGCTGCACCGCGCGGCGTGGCCCAACGTCTTACCACGCGTGCCACACGAGGTTCTGCTGTGCGACGCACCGCCGCGAGTGCAGCAGCCGATGCCGCTGTGACGAGCGCGCAATCTGCGGGGGACGTGGCGCTGTCGATCTCGACGTTCAACATCCTTGCGCCCATCTATAAACGACTGGCGGGCGAGGTGCGCGGGGCGGCTGGGATTGCGCGGATGGGAAAGATCGATCGAGAGGGGATGCCGCCATCGCCGCTCCGCCGTGGCTCGTTCTTGATTGTTCCACTCCGCAGCCGCATTCCCCACGCCCTGCCCATAATGCGCTCATCATCTCTTTTCCCCCCCAAACACCTTCTTCCCCGCCCCCTCCCGCCCATCCCTGGACGGCCGTCAGGCGGTGCGCGAGAGCGCGTTCCCCGAGGAGTGGATGGCACGCAACGAGCGCATTCTCGCCGCTGTGCGCGCAACCGACAGCACCGTCGTTTGCCTCCAGGTACGCGCGCGGTCGGGGGAAAGGCAGGGGGAAGGAAGGGAGAAGGGGATGGCTTGGGGACGCTGTGAAAGGACTGCAAGGGGGCGGAAGCTGGTGGAATGAAATCTCCACAAGGGGGAGGGACGAACGGGGGGCGGGAGGGGCAGCAGTGAAGGGCATGAAATAGCGGTTCCAGTCCCCGGTGCACCATGCTGCTGCACGTGCACCCGCTCCCCCACGTAACAACTATACTGCCTTCCCCTCCTCCCACCACCCGCTCCTCCACCCCCCGCCCTCGTTTCCCTTCCGCTCGATGTGCGCATGCGCGCGCAGGAGTTCTGGTTCAATGCGGACCTGGAGCGCATGTACCATGACGCGCTCGAGGCGCACGGCTACCAGCTCTACAAGCTGCCGCGCACCAACGCCAGAGGCGACGGTGAGCCGCCGCCGCCGCCGCCGCTGCTGCTGCTGCTGCCGGTGCTGTGCTGCGTCTGCCGCTGCCGCTTGTATCCACTGCAAGCTCACAACCACCCCCCCCCCAAGCAAGCTGCAGTGACACGCCCCCCGCTCACTCGTAACCCCGCTGTGCACCCGTGCAGGGCTGCTAATGGCGGTGCGTGGCGGGGAGGGCGTGAGCGTGGCGGACTACGAGCCCATCCTCTTCAACGACTGCGGGGACCGCGTCGCGCAGCTGCTGCGCCTGCGCATGCCTGGGGCCGGCGAGATGCTGGTGGTGAACACGCACCTGCTCTTCCCGCACAACGCCAATTCCAGCCTCATTCGCCTCCGCGAGGTGCGCTCTCCGCCCGCTCTCTGCCCCTCCTCCTTCTCCGCACTTTGAGTGGTCTCCGCCTCGCATGCACAGAGACTCGTAGCACAGAGGCGGTGTGTGAGGTTGAGTGGCAGGTGCGGCAGCTGTGGTACTTGGATGGCATCACCTGAACAGCTGCAACACGTTTCCCCCACCGTCCCCTTGCTCTGTGGTGGTGGGCCACCCCCACCCCCAACCCCACCCCCACCCCCACCCCCACCCCCACCCCCACCCCCACCCCCACCCCCACCCCCACCCCCACCCCCACCCGCAGGTGTATAAGGTGCTGGAGTACCTGGAGCAGTACCGCCAGCGCCACCACCTGCCCGCACTGCCCATCGTGCTCTGCGGGTCAGTGCCTGCACTGCGCACTGCTGCTGCTGCCCGCTGCCGGTGCTGTTGCTTCTCATTTGTCAGACTCCTGATTCGCCAGCAGTCCTCTCTGCATCAGCACTCCCCATTCCCCCCGGCCCCACCCACAGCCACTTCTGCCAGCACCTTTTTCCTCGCACACTACCTGGCTCTCTCTTTTCCTCTCGCATCCACACTCACAAACCCACACTAACACAACACCCATACTAACAATCACACTCGCCCTCACAACCACATCCAAACCCCCACCCCATCCTTGTTCCCACCACGATCACCCGTGACCCACAGAGACCTGAACGGCACCAAGGCGGGGCGTGTGTACCGGTTCCTGCGGTCACAGGGCTTTGTGTCATGCTACGACGCCGCCATGCACCACGCCGACCATGACACCGCCGTGAGCACACTGCTGCCGCCCACCCCACTCACACTCACCTCTGCTCCTGCTTCCCCCTTATCACCTGCTGAATTTCTTTGCCCTGGGCTGTCTCTGCACGCTCTCCTCTTTCGCACCTGCATCTGCTCCTGGTTCTCCTGGCGCCTATTACTCAATAGCCCTTCCCCTCCTGCGCTACCCATTTTGTGTATGATGAATGCGTGATGTGTGTATGACGAATGTGTGATGGGTGTATGATGAATGCGTGATGGGTGTATGATGAATGCGTGATGGGTGTATGATGCATGTGTGATGGGTGTATGATGAATGCCTGATGTGTGTATGATGCATGTGTTATGGGTGTATGATGAATGCCTGATGTGTGTATGATGCATGTGTTATGGGTGTATGATGAATGCCTGATGTGTGTATGATGCATGTGTTATGGGTGTATGATGAATGCGTGATGGGTGTATGATGCATGTGTGATGGGTGTATGATGAATTCGTGATGGGTGTATGATGCATGTGCAACGCATGTGTGGTGCACGGCCGTGCACGGCGCAATGGCAGTGGGTGTCACACCGCAATCACCACGGGGTGCTGGTTGGCGTGGACTACATCTGGCTGCTCAACCCCACGGCACAGGACCAGCCCCTCACCGCGGACTGGAAGGCCGCCATCTTCCAGATGATCAAGGTGCGCGCACAGGCACCCACGGGGTGCTGCCATTGCTGCCCAATGCACCTGCTGCACATGCATCAATGGTGTTAGAGGGGGGGTGTGGGCAATGCAGCAGCATGTGGTGGCGGCGGTGGTGGTGGTGGTGGTGGTGCAGCAGCTGTCTCCAGAGCAACCGCATACACATGCACACCACGTCTCTCCACGCCCACTGCAATCAACCTGCACGGAACCTCCCTCCCTCTACACGCCTCGTGCATGCCCTGCCTGACCACTGTTCGCTCCCGGCTCCCCGCTCTCCCGTGCTACCTGCCAATGTGGCGTGTGGTGTGAGCAGGCGAAGCTGGGCGAGGCGGGCATGGAGGAGGAGCGGCAGGCGTTTGACTTCTTCCGCAGCGACAGCGAGGCAGGTGCAGAGGAGCAGGGCGAGGTGGCGGAGCATGTGACGGTGGAGCAGTTCAACTACGCCATGGACCAGGTGCGCCAAGCACTGCCCCAAGCCACGGCCCCCCACTCTGCACCAATGCACCATGCCTCATGCGCCTTGTTCTCCCGTGTTATTGCTCCCGTCTGCCACTCCCATTGTTTTCCCTTCACCCGTGTCCTCCCCACCTCCTTCCATGCATGCATGGGTGCAGCTGGGGCTGACGGGTGAGGGCACGGTGGGGCTGACTCGAGCGGAAATAGAGGAGCTGGTGCAGTGTGTGGACACGGATGGCAACGGCGTCATTGACTACGATGAATTCAAGGTAAGCTCTGCTGCCCGCCCACCCGCCACTGCCTGACACCCACGCCCTCTCAAGTCTGCCAGGTCATTCACCCATCCGCTGCATTGTTGGACAATTCGTCATGCCTCTGCACTCCCACTCGCCATCTCCCATTTTGCGCCATCACCCCAGCATCGCACATTACAAAATTCGTCCTGTGCTCTCTCCCGTCCTTCTCCCTCTCTCCTCCTCTCCCCGGTGGTGCATGCACGGGGTGGAGCAGACGCTGCTGCTGGCGCCGTCCATGGAGGAGACGTATGCACGCATCAAGCAGGCCACCGGCATCGTTGAACAGCCCTGGCCCTCCAACCCCCCCGCCCCCGCCTCCACCGCCTCACCAGCCCCTCCGGCCTCCACAGAGCAGCCCGACTCAGCATCGTCGCGGGACCTGGTGGTGTGTGCAGCACAGCTGCAGCCTGCTGCCATGGCGCAGGGGGTGTGGCCCGATGACTACTCCATTTCTGACCACGCCATCCTCACTGCCGCCTTCTCTGCTGCACCCACCCATGCATAGCGTGCCCTGCCCACCGTGTGAAAGAAAAAATGTGCTGTATTCTTTTATATTATATATCCCACCCCCGAACACAAGAAAGATCGGAGCCATCCTCCGCCTCCCTCCTCCCAGATCGCGATCATGTCATATACTGTGTCAGTAGCCTACATTCCAGGTTATGCTGTATTGGTGCATACACTGATCATGTTACGGGACCGCTAGAGGAGGGGCGCTCCTGCTCACCACCAACCATCTCTGTTATTCTCTGCCATTGTTATAGCACGAGAAAAGTCTTGGGACGAGAAGAGCAAGGCCAGCTGAGTATGTGCGGTCCCTGGTGCTTCTAGATGAGAGGCTAATTGAGCATTTTCTGACAAGTTCAAGGGATCCATCCAATCTAGTTCCTAGCAATAGAGTGACGCAAGATGATTTAGTGCATGTTTTCCCATTGCCTGCTTATAATTTGTGTTACGGTACCTCTTCCCATGTCTTCAAATGATTGGTGTATTGATATTGCTAACTTTTATTGCTGTGTTTCCAAGCTCTACACCACGCATACGTTGTTGTTTCCGCCTGAATTGCCTTGTTCTTTAACGAGGTTGGACAGGTTCGTTTTCCCCAAGCCCAACACCACCTTGCCTTTGCCCCAAGCTCGTTGGCTGCATATTCGAGTCATCACCCATTTGGCCGAGGCGAGAGTAGAGGTGATTTGCCAAGCCTGCGGCGTAAGTTCGGAGGGGTGAGCTCACTGGCCGTCGGCGCGGCTCTTTTCGCGTCGCCAAGGGCGCTGCGCGGATGTTACCTCACCACCACCAAACTGGGATCATTTGGGAAAAGCGGAGGGCCCCCCATAGACGCCGAAGAGGGAAAAAGGAAATCATGTCGCTGGCGCTTCGACTCTATATTCTGCACTGTTCATGTCTCCCCGCGGTGCCGTCGTTCAGTAAGCGTGCGCTACAAAACCGAGGGGAAAGAGGGAGGATGTTGGTGACCTTGGGCTGCACGGCGCAGCGCCGCGTGCATGTTTGCCTGCCCGTTATCCCGTCGTTGCCCCTCGATTTGTCCACCCACACTTGACCCCCACCCCTTCGCTCTATCCATCCATCCAGTTGGACCCTTCGGGCCCTGGGCCAAAAAGCCGCCCTACTCGAGCAAAATCCCTCTGACAACTGTGTCCTTCAGCTACAGTGGCAAAATACTTTCCTGGTCGAACGCTAAGGTGAAGGTGCAGCAGATCGCTTCTGAGGTGCTGCCGAGTAGCGCAAGTGTAGGGCGCCAGTGGTGAGGGAAGACGTGGTTTCACTGTGATCGCTACAGCGCCGCACATCTCGCCGCTGCTGGCGCCTAATCGCATAGTCGTCACATTCCTCGTCCGCGCGCGCGACTGGCCATCCCGCCCCTGGGCACCTTTCACCCGTCAGTCAGGCTTGACGTCCACCCTGCTTCCGTCACCACGTGCTCGCCTCGGGGATTTTCTGCTGGTGCCAGTAGCCCCTACTTGTTGTCCCCGCCTGTGCACGAATACCCCCTTGTGGAGTGCAAGAATCGAAGAGTAATTAGCGGTCACGCCATAGCACACCGACAGAAGCGTCTCGTTGTGAGCTACCGATTGAACCTCCGTCCTACAGTCTCGGTAGTGGAGCGAGGGGCGGCGATCACGGTGGGCGCGAGTGGGGTAGGGGCAGGCAGACAAAGCTCCACCGCAAATCTGCGCCCAGCGTCGCGAGAGTGAGGGCTCGAGCGGCGCGGCACGGGAGGGTTCCCCTATGCCTCCGAACATGGCGTCCCCAGTGAAGTTGCTGTCGCCGTCGGGCGCGGCCAAGCCGGTGGAGGTGGCCAAGAGCGAGGCGAACGAGAAGCTGCGCTCCAACTCGTTCATTATGCGCTCGGCGCGCAGTCTCAGCGCCACGCAACTCGGGTGCCTCGCGCTCGTCTTCCTCGTCACGTGCGCTCCGCGAAACCCGCCTTTCGCTCTCGTTGCACTTGTCGTCGTACACACCTCCCCGCATTAGCCGCTATTCTGCTGCGCAGGGCGTCCTTTCCGCTTCCCTTCCTGCAGTCCTTCGCCTTCCGCCTGCGCTGCGATCGGCGTTTTACCTCACGCATTAAGTGCCTCGCTCATCCTCCCTCTCCGCACCTACTTCGCGCACCCCCCGCACCCACCCTGCAGTGTCGTGAGTGTGTTTTACCGCTCCACCTCGCCGCTTTTAGCGCGCGACGCCGGGGCGCAGCACGCAGCGACGTGGGGCGGAGACGTGTGGGAGGCGGAGGTCGTGCGCTCCGCCACGCCACAGGAGGTGAGCGCTTCGCCTCCGCGTCTCACTCGCGCCAATCCCTTGCGTCACTTGCGGAAGGTGTTGGTAGCCGTAGCACCGTAGACTTGCTAGGCTAGCCATCTCCGCTGCTGCTCGTGCTGCGCGCCACCCGCGCTGGGAGGATGGCGGGGGGGGAGAGAGGGGAAAGGGCCGTGCGCGTGTCCGAGTGAGAGCGCCACGCCCGTTGATAACGACAGCGGGGCGGGCGCGCGCGTGCGTGGTGCGCCGACACGACCATGGCTCACATGCGACGCGTCGCTGCATCCACCGGCGCTAGCGATCTCATCCCCAATTCTCCTTCCTCCCTCCTCTCTCCCCACCTCCCCGCTCCCCGCTCCGCCCTCCGCCCCCACCCCCTTTTCTCCCCATCTTCCCCTCCCTTCCTCTTCCCCTCTGCCTCCGCCCGTGCCCTCTTCCCTGTGCGCGGCGGCAGCCATCGGGGTTGGTGGTGCTGGTGACGGGCGCGGCGGGCTTCGTGGGCTCGCACGTGTCGCTGGCGCTGCGGCGGCGCGGCGACGGCGTGGTGGGAGTGGACAGCTTCAACAGCTACTACCCCGTCGCGCTCAAGCGCGCGCGCCAGACACGCCTGCAGGAGAAGGGCGTGTGAGTACGCCTCGCCCTGCGCGCTCGCCCATGCGCGCTCGCCTTATATTGTCGTCTCTCGCCCATATACTCGCCCTCTCCGCTCCCCATCTCCTCCTCCCCCCACCCAACCCCCTTCCCCTCACCTACATCCCTCCGCCCCGTCTTTCTTCATCCTCCCGCGCCTCACTCGCTTCACCCCTTATCTGCGCCCTCCCCCCCCCCCCCCTCCCTCCCGTGCTGCCCTCCCCCCGGCGTGCGGGCGGGGCGCGCAGCATGGTGGTGGAGGGCGACATCACGAGCGCGGAGCTGCTGGCGGAGCTGTTCCGCGTGGTGCGCTTCACGCACGTGCTGCACCTGGCGGCGCAGGCGGGCGTGCGGTACGCGGTGCAGAACCCCATGGCGTACGTGCACTCCAACGTGCACGGCTTCGTGCAGTTGCTCGAACTCTGCAAGGTACGCGCACACACGCCAACAGGCGGGACGGGTTGGGCCGGGACGCGGGCGTGGGGGGTGTTGTGGAAAGATGAATGGAATGGCGGATGGCAAGGTTGGAAAATGCGGATTCGCGCGTGCACCTCCGTCTGTCCGTCCATTCGCGTCTTCCTCCTTTGCTCCCACTACCTCCATTGTTTAGCCGAATTTTAAGGCTTCTCCTTCTCCCGCGGTGCCTCCTCCTGTGGGTGTATGCAGGCGGCAGACCCTCAGCCCGCCATTGTGTACGCGTCGTCGTCATCAGTATACGGCCTCAACACCAAGGTACGCCCTTGCGCCTCCACCACACTCGCTCGCTCTTCACCTTCCACTGCCAACCCCTTGCCCCATCCACGCCCTCCCTCTCCTGCGCTGGCCATCTCCTGACATCGGTGTGACCTTGTGTGCCGTACCCCCCTGGCCGCCAGGTGCCATTCTCAGAGGACGATCGCACGGACAGACCTGCCAGTCTCTACGCCGCCACCAAGGTCACTGCTCCCTCCCCGCCCCTTTCACTCCCTTCCCCAATGTCCATGCTGCTCTCTGCCACACCTTGCTTCTTGAGAGTGCCTTTCTCCACGCACACGGCTGACATGCCCCTTGCCCTGTGCGTCGTGCCGCTGTGCCGGGTGGCAGAAGGCGGACGAGGTGCTGGGGCACACGTACAACCACATCTACGGCCTCTCCGTCACCGCCCTCAGGTGCCCCTCGCTGCTGCCGCTCTCCGCCCCTCTGCCTGCCATGTTGTCACATGCCTGCCTGGCGCAACGAGCTATATACTTGCTCCCCCAGTTCTGCCAGCGGCATTGACAGTTGTGTGTGCGGTGGTGTGTGCGTGCGGTGGTGGCATGTGGCAGGTTCTTCACAGTGTATGGGCCGTGGGGGCGACCAGACATGGCCTACTTCTCCTTCACGCGCAACATTGTTGACGGCAAGGTGGGCCTTGCTGCTACTGCTCGCTCCACAATCGTTCACACTCACATGTCCTTTCCTCCACCCCCGTGTGGTTCTCCCCCACTCACACGCCATCCCGGTTGCACTCATGTCCTCTCTGCTATGTTGCTCTCCCCCCGCCGCCCTTTACCTGCGTGCACGCGACCCAACGGAGCAGCCCATAAAGATATTCCAGGGGCCGAAGCAGGAGGAGCTGGCGCGGGACTTCACGTACATCGATGACGTGGTGCGCGGCTGCGTGGCTGCGCTGGACACGGCGGGGCCCAGCACGGGCAGTGGCGGGCGCAAGAAGCGCAAGGCGCCTTTCCGCGTGTACAACCTGGGCAACACGCAGCCGGTGCGAGTGGGCGACTTTGTGGGGCTGCTGGAGAAGCACCTGGGCATCAAGGCCGTCCGCAAGTGAGTCGCCTTTGCTCCCTTGGCTTCGCTGCACACGCCAAGCCCGCACTGCCATGTACACTCCGTCTGCTGTCCGCATTGCCGAATGCAAGCCCTCTTTACATGCCAAATGAATGTGCCGCCCAGTTGCTCGCCCCCCACTCCCTCCCCCCCCCACCTTGTGTGCTTGTGTTGCTCCCTTTCCTTTGCTCTCGGGTGTGCAGTTACATTCAAATGCCCAGCAGCGGGGACGTGCTCTTCACACATGCCAACATCACCAGAGCACATCGTGAACTAGGGTGCGTCGCACTTGCACAC